AAGGAAATCTTTACCTAGCGTGTAAACCTGAACTTGTCTGGTTTGCAGGGTCAAAGCTTCACTTTTTGGCATTTTCAGGGAAGTGATGCTGCAGAGGCTGGTTTTAAAAAGCCCATTACTCAACGTGGCACCAAGGGCTGCTCTTTCTTTCTTGCCTTTTCATTGAGCAGTTCTCTGACCACATTCCTCAATGCCAGCCGGTGCCCTGTGGCAGCTGGAGCAGCCGCCCAGAATCTTGGGGAGGCAGACAGGCCCTCTCACTGTCACAACCAGGAGCTGTTTCCCTGAAGGGAAAGCCCTCCGAGCTGTCGGCGCCTAAATTCATGATTTGCCGCTCCATCCCAAACTGTTCCGGAAAGACAAAGCCAGTAGGGCAACCCTGCCTTGTTCAAAAGATTTTTGTGGCTTTCAAAGCATTAAAGTTTTCTTTTCTAGTCAAAGAAACACTGAATGTTAAGTTCCTCTGGGCTCATTAGCAACATTTGTGGCGGCTTCAAATTGGAGCTGAAGGACTTTCCATGAAGAATTCTAGAAGCCAGAGACTTTGGGAAATAAAAATGAGAGTCATCAGCCCATGAGCACTTACTACGTGGCAGGCAATGTCCTAGGTGTTGCACATAAATCCTCTCAGTTAATTTTATTTAATCCCGACAACTCTTGATTCATTCATCAAGTATTTATTTACTGAGTGCCTGTTATGTCCCAGACACACCGCTCTAGTGGATGGAGACACAAAATAAATATATAGAATAAGTAAATCATACAGTGAAGTTGGAGGTGATAGTGCTATGAAATATGATTGGGAGAAAGGGGTTCCAGAATCCCGAAGTGTGGCAAGACCAGGGTAACAAGACCTCATTGAGGGGCTGGGTACACTTTAACAGACACAAGGAAAGCAAGAGGGGGAGCCATGCCACTCCTTGGGGGGTGGGGGAGAACGATACAAGCAGAGACAACCAACGCTGACTTGGGTTAGTGTAAGCAGGGAACGTAAAAATAATTTATTGGAAGAATATTAGAGAGTTTACGAAATCTAAGAAAAAGTGGAAATTGGGTATCATGTTTGTGGTGGTCCTCAGGTTGTCCATGTCCTAATCCCAGGAGGTTGTGACTGTGAAGTTATACAGCAAGTGGAATTAAAATTGCAGGTGGTGTTGGTTAGAGCATAGTCCCAATACACAAGGTTTCAGGTTTGATCTCTGATCAGGGCACATATAAGAATATAAGAATCAACCAATGAATGCATCAGTAATTGGAATGAACACCAAATCCATATTTCTCTCTCTTCCCCCCCACTCCTTCTCTCCCTCTCTCTCCCTCAAACCAATTTATTTTTTTTAATTGCAGATGGCATTAAGGTTGCTAATTGGCTGACCTTAAAATAAAGAGATTACCTTGGATTATGTAGGTGGGCCCCATGTAATCATCAAGGATCCTTAAAATTGTAAGAGCCTGGCCTGCATGGCTCAGTGGTTGAGCATCAACCTATGAACCAAGTCACCGTTTGATTCCATGTCAGGGCACATGCCTGGATTACAGGCTCAATCCCCAGTATGGGGCATGTAGGAGGCAGCCAATCAATGATTCTCTCTCATCAATCATGTTTCTATTTCTCTCTCCCTCTCCCTTCCTCTGCAAAATCAATAAATATATATTTTTTAAAAATAAAATAAAATCGGAAGAGAGGTGGCACTGTGAGAAGGACTTGTCCCCACATTGCTGGACTTGATGATGTAGGAAGGGGCCATGAGTCAATGAGCAGGGCAGCCTCAGAAACCAAAAAAGGTAAGAAAACAAATTCTCCCCTATCGCCTCCAGAAAGGACCACAGCCCTGCCCACACCTAACTTTTAGCCCAGAGAGAAGGCTAACCTGCTGAGTTGTGAGATGAAAAATGTGAATTGGCTTAAGTCTGTGGCAGTTAGACAGCAGCTATAGGAAACTAACATGAGCATGTCTACAGAAAACTTCCCAAAGATTCATTGTCCTCAGGTTTCAGGGATGACAGGCACCAGGGAGGAGGCTGATGGATCACCCAGAATAAACCAGTTTCGCTCATTGTCCTTACTTGGGTCACTGCTCTCTACATTCAGACTCTGCCTGGTCTGTTTGGAGAACATCCGGGTCAGTGTGGACAGAGCAGAGTGAGAAAGAAGAGAGTGGAAGAAGATGGGGTCAGAGTAGTGATGGGGGCCAAGGGTTGCCGGGTCTCCTTGGCAACTGAGACACATATATACTCTACTGGGGAGATATGGAAATCTCCAATTTGCAGAGGTGGAAACTGAGAGATTAACTTTCCCAGGTTTAAACAAGTGAGATTTGATTCCAGGTCTCCTTGCTTTGAAAGCCCTTTTATCATCCCAGCCAAACTGCACAGAATAATGGAAGAATGAAAACTGGCTCCTAGTGATGCCGTGGCAGCATCCTTGTGTCACCAAATCCCCATGATGGCATATTAAGGTGGCTCCATTTGTTGTTGCCACAGTGTTAGTCAAGAATAAAGTGGGGCCTTGACTTATGAGTGTCCCGACTAACGAGTTTTTTGAGATACCAGCTGTCTCTCAGCCGATTTTTTGCATTGAGTTGATAGAGTAATTTGAGTTAACGAGCTCTTTAATGAGCTCCTTAATGAGCTTGGTCTCAGAACGAATTCAACTCGTAAGTCAAGGCCCCACTGTATCTTCCTTTTAAAAAATAAAAGTCCTGCTCCGTATTTCAGTAGAGCCATGCCATGAAATGCATAGACCTTCCCTCACACTCAATCTCATCCACATTCTTTCTTTTTTCCTCACCTCCTGCCTTTCTTCCATTACTGAGGGACCAAAGGGGCCCTTCTGACTGTCCTGCTGTAGTTTTTAATTAAATAAGGAACTTCTACACAGCTTAGTAGGACTTGCTCATGATCTTACTGCTTTTTAACCCACACTAAAGCCGTCTCTATGCTTTTCCCCATCCTTTGAGATTCAACTTGAGCTACTCTCTGTGCGTATGTAGGTAGCAGGCCATCTGTTATTTCTGCCTGCCAGCATTCCTTCCCTCATCTCTTGCTAAGAGTGTCCTAATTTTTCTGTGGGGGACCACCCCTCCCCAAATCCATCCAATCTTGGTAGCTCTGTCAATCAAGATGTCCCCTCTTCCCCTGGCACTAGACTCAAGCTTAGTCAAACAGACTTCCTGGGATTTGAATCTAGAGACAGTGAACCAAATATGGACAATGGTTGAAGCTGATGCATTCTGGAAGAGCTAAAGAAGCCAACATATTCCACGGTGAATGCCTTTCCCGAGGCCATTAATTATTGGGGAGTTTTCTGAAGATATGATAATCCCCAATTTTCACTTTTTCTTAGATTCAGTAAGCTCTCATTAATCTTCCAATAAATTATTTTTAATTTTACCTGCTTATGTTAACACAATTAGTGTGGGTCACTTGCAATTAAAACAAACAAATAAACTTAACTGATAAAATCTTGCCTCTTGAATAACTAGCTTAATTTACTTAGTCTTTGATATACTGTACTTCAAAGGCTCTTAGTCGGATGTGCAGATCTTGCTACTTCAGCTGGAGTATATTTTTCTCTGCCTGTGTGTTTTTTTCTAATCATAAACTCCAAGGTTGGAATAAAGTAATTCATGTTGTAACTTATCCAATAACTAGCATCTTGCCTTTATTTCACCTTTTTTTAAAAGGAGTAAGTAAATAGATATTTGGTCCAAAATTTCAAGCCAAGATTTCCCTTTCTTATTTGCTTTAAACTTTACAGAAAACTCCCCAAAGATTTGTCTAGCCAAAATAGTTCTTTAGTTCTTTTACCTAATTATATGGTGTCTACATAAAAGTAAAATTCTAAAGTGAAAGTGCTATGTGCCTAGAAGTTCTTTTGAAAATGCAAAACAGTACTTGGAGAGAGAATTTATTATATGCTAATATCCTTTAGTATTTACACTTCCAGTTGAATTACTTTATAAAATAGTAGCATAACATAGTCAAAATTAATGGTATGTAATGATATGGCCAATAGTATGTAAGCAAATGTGCCACATATGATTCCCATTTCTCCTCCTTCCTGCAGAATGGATTGTAGACATGATGGCTGGAGTCCAAGCAGCTCTCTTGTTTCCATATGATGAGGATGATGGAGCAGCAGGAGAGAGGAGCTGGAGTCTGTGATGACTTCATAAAGCTGCTCTGACAGCTCGGGGCTGCCACACTTTTTTAAATATATAAAAGAAAAATAAATTCTTATCTTAGTTAAACCACTGCTACTTGGATTTTCTGTCAGTTGCAGATACTATCTTCCTAAATCCTAATTGATATAGTCAGGTGTATGTCACCCACCCTCTTAAATATGTATGGGATGAATTACATTTAATTATCTAACAACAACAAAAGTATGAAACACATATGTTAAGTGTTAAGCATGCTGATTATATCCAGTCAGTGAATATTCCTAATGGGATAAGACTTGAGACTCACCTCACCACACCCACTGTAGCTACATTCCTTCCCTGACCAACAGGGCAAGATCTCAGGCTTGCCTCCCCAGTCCTTGTGACCTTATGGATTTCCTGGAACTCTGCAAGGCTCTAACTTTGGTCTTGTTCAAGGCCATACAGCTTAACTAATGACCCCACCACTTCTCTGTTCATTGACCTTGGGAAATTTATTGAACCTCTCAGTGTCTCAATTTCCTCAAAATGAAAATAATCTCGTAGAGTTATTGTAAGAATTGAATAAAACACATGGAGTGCTCTTGGTGCCTGATGTATAATACTCCTCAAGCAGTATTAATTAAAATTATGCCTATTATTTCACTCCAAAAGAGAAAATTTGAATGTCATGAAGATCTCGACAAGGGATAACTCTACCACCGGAGGAGACAATGGAGGCCTTGATGGATCACTGTCTTTCAAACCATCACACAAAATTAAGCTCCAGTTTCATGCTACTATATGCAAAGATACATATCATCCTTATTTCTCATTATTTTTTTTGGGGGGGGGGAGGGAGGAATTAGTCCTGTGTCTTTATTAAAGAGAGTTAGAGAGAGACTACACCTCAAAGGGTGAGGTACTGGCCAGAAGAATGGGGTGGACTCAGGTCCTGGGGATTCAAGGGCAGGTTGATGGCCTGGGAGGGGCCAAGGAGACCAGGTTCTGGCAGCAGTTGAGTAGGTGCCTGAGGGTGAACTTTCAGGCACTGGGGTGATCAGCTGGTTCTGCAGGAGTCACAGGGTAGGTTGGGTTGGCCTGGAATCTCCCTGAGGCCACCCTGCCTTGTCTACTTAGATCATCCACTGGTCCTGATCCTGGTTGTTGCCTTCCGTGTCCACCTCATTGACCTCTCCATCATCAGGTGACTCATTGTAGTCATTCATCTCGTCCATGTCCTGCATGTCCTCATCATCCTCTGAGTCCTCTTCACTATCCTCATCATCATCTTCATCCTCCTCTTCCTCATCATCATAGTGCTCTGAGGCCGGCTTGCCAATAGGTACCAGGTTGTTGTCTTTCTCTGCGATGCTCTGGAGCCAGGCTTGATGCTGCTGTTCTTGCTGCTGCAGCTCTGTCTCTTCCACACAAGGCCGATCCAGATTAAACCACAGAGTTTCAGTCACACGGGGGAAGAGGGAGGGAAACAAGGTGGACATGGCTCCGCGCCGGGAGGCGGCAGCCGGCAGTGACCCGGAAGCACTTCCCTCCGCCTCAGCGGAAGAACCCACCGGAACCTGGGACACACCCATTTCTCATTATTTTAACTTAAAATAGATTTTTCCTGTCCAGTGTAGCTCAGTTGATTGTGATCCCATGCACCAAAAGGTCAGTGGTTCCATTCCTGGTCAGGGCAATGCCCAGGTTGTCTCTTTCTCTCTCCTTCTCCCTTCCTCTTTCTCTAAAATCAATAAAATATAATTTAAAGAAACATGTTAAAATAGATTTGTCTCTACTAGGTCCAGTTCTCTCTGTAGAGTCCAGGAGGACAGCAGCAATGACTTCTTTGAAGGAGAACTACTGGCAGTTGGCAATGGCTTATTCATCTCCTTTATCTCCACTCCAATGAGCTTGTAAGGCTCCCTTAACTCACCAGCATCTAACAGGTCCTCATGCCTAATCAAATGTATGAAAAAAAGCAAAAAAGCCCTCACCTGCCTGACCAGGAGAAATGCTCTCTCCTCAGACTTCAAGGACACCCCTAAGATCCTGAAATAAGGAATTTGCCTCTGATATTTTATAGTGGATAACAACTTATGTGTGTGTGTGTGTGTGTGTGTTCTTAGATTCCTTTCACTACCTTATAGAGTAATCTTTGAGGATTTGTCTTATTACAGATTTGTTTTCCTTTTAAACAAACAATCATACTTAAAACTCCAGAAGACTTGACAAACAATTCTTGGTGAAATTTTCTTTCTGATGAATATAAAATTATGATGGCAGAACATTGAGAATTTGAGGGATGAGCTCCCTGATTTTTCTTTTGCTTAAAAAAACAACAATTCAGCCCTCATTTAACAATGTCTCTTGGTGGCTTTGAATCAATTCCTCTCACTGTTATTTAATTTGGGCAAATTTACCAGGAAGACAAGATTATGGTGCCCACACTCTTCTTTTCAATCTTTCTGGAACCTTATTTGTATCTCTATGTCAACAGAGTGAAGAAAAGATAGTGTTTCCTCTGGAGCAGCCCACAGCTCCTGGCGTGCTCCTTAATTAGTGTCTGTGACCAGTTAGCCTTGTTTAGATTTCATTCCACACACTTACTGGGAAACGCGCTCCTTCTCTGCTGCTGTGGTACGCGCCAGCTGTCTTTACTCTCTCAGGACCCAATTCACAGACCAGAAATTCTGTTATGAGCACAAATGTCTGCGAGCGGGCATTTGTTTATTTTCTGCTTAGCAGACAACTTTTATATATCTCTGCCATTAAAAATAAATAAGTAAATACACAAATACCCAAACAAATACAACAGACAAAAAGCAGAATAGCTCACTTCCATCTAAAGTAAACTAAAGGTTTGCCTCATATGGAAGTTGTACCTCTTTCTGGTCAAGAAAATATTGCTCTTCTCTTAGAAATAATAAACTCATCCCTAAATGCCACTTTGAAGACTAAATATCCACGACAAAAGACGGACAAAGAAGCTATGGGTTCCATGTTTCCATTGGCCAAATGATGCACACTCCCTTTTGTATATAAGTGTTAATGAATGGCCCGTTAGTCCATCTCCTCTTTTCCTAAATGTGTGAACTGGAATGTCTACAGACAGTGCCTGCACATGCCTCTGTTGCATTCTTCTCATCCCAACATTTGGGGCCACGGGGCACACGTTTTCCTTATTGAGGTCTGAGGAACTGGATGCTGGCAGAGAGGAGAGCCCAGCTCCCATTGGGTGCCCGGACTCTGCATTCCCCAGTAACTTATGCACATTGTATTATGGCTTCTGTTTCTATGACTTAATCATTGCATAAGCCCAGCACTCAGTACAGTTTGGGGCATACAGTGGGTAGTTGATTAATGTTTAATAATAGAAAACAGTGCTTTATACGTGTTTATTATCTGCCAGGCACTAAGGCCTTTGCAAACATTAACTAGTTTAATGCTCACAACAACCCTATGGGATAGTTATTATTGTTCCTGTTTACAGATGAGGAAACTGGGACATGGAGAGGCAGAGCAATTGGCTCCTATGTGGTAGACCTGGGATTGAAAGCCAGGAATTCACTATTCTTCCTCTCTCTGCCCAACCCCCAGGCACTTACCTCAACTAAACAGGTGGTCCTTCCTATTTCTATGGAGTGCTATTCTAGCCTGTTTCTTGGATAATTGATGGGGCACAGAGATTCTCCCATCACCTACCTTCTCCCCTCCCCCAAATTTTCCTAGGATTAAATCCCTAATAAAATTACACAAAGGAGCATAGAAGCATGGCTTGCCCTTGTTCCAAAAGGAGAAGGTTTCCATAAAAATACAACGATGAGAACAAAAAAGAAAATTGCACATGGTTCCCAATTCGTCCAGCATCATTTTAATAGAAACTTTAGGTCACAGGCATCATGAGGATTTCTAGAATTCCATCCAAGGGAGGCACTTCACCAGCAATGAACCAGCTCAGATAGCTGGGAAGCTAAGACACCACAAAGGGCCCTCAATGACATGTGAGAGACCAGACTGTGCAAGCTAAGTCCTAAGCCAGCCACCCAGGAAGGTGTTAGGGAGCCATGAGAGGGAAAGGAAGTGGAGGCTGTAAATACAGGTGTGTGTTTCCCCTGAGAAGCTCGGATATAAAGGAAAGGGTGAAAGGGTCCATGGCAACAACTGGGACACAGGGAGGAAGAAAGGTGTTCTTAAAGATAAGATAAGCATGTCTATAGTTTGCAGAGAAGTTACCTGTTAGTAGTGAGAGGTAGAAAATACCAGGGAGAGAGAGAAAGAATACATAAAATGTGAGACTGGTCCTAGATAGAAGGGTATGGGGTGAGGAAAAATGATCTTAAAATGGTCTTGACAGGAAAGAGACCTTTTCCTTTTACAAAGATGAAGCAAGAATGGTTCCCATGTGGCATGTCTATAGTTTGCAGAGAAGTAACCTGTTAGTAGTGAGAGGTAGAAAATACCAGGGAGAGAGAGAAAGAATGCATAAAATGTGAGACTGGTCCTAGACAGAAGGGTATGGGGTGAGGAAAAATGATCTTAAAATGGTCTTGACAGGAAAGAGACCTTTTCCTTTTACAAAGATGAAGCAAGAATGGTTCCCATGTGGAATCTTGAGGTAGAAACTAAAAGCCATCTTTGGGGCATTCATTGACCCCACACGTAGCTCTTTCAGGAAAAATTGAGGAAAACTAGTTGCAAACTGCTAGCGGCTACTGTTGGGCATTTAAAATGTGGTGCCAGTTGCTATAGACATTTATGGATAGAAACATGCAAGTCTAGGAAATGGGACCCCAAACAGCACATGCTGCCCTAAGTCAACCATCTGGTTCCTTAAAGAAAAGATGTATCAGAAAAGAAAGCAAGGCAAGGTGATACTTTATTTTTTTACTAGAGGCCTGGTGCACAAAATTTGTTCACTGGGGGGGCGGGGGAGTGTCCCTCAGCCCAGCTTGCACCCTCCCCAATCTCGGACCCCTTGGGCAGTCCGACATCCCTCTCACAATCCGAGACTGCTGGCTCCCAACCACTCGCCTGCCTGCCTGCCTGCCTGATTGCCCCTAATGTTTCTGCCTGCCAGTCTGATTAGCCCCTAACCACTCCCCTTCCAACCTGATCAATGCCTAACTGCTCCCCCGCCAGCCCGATTGCCCCCAACTGCCCTCCCCTGCAGGCCTGGT